CCAAGCAGGCAAGAACAGCTATTCCAGACCCGCCGTGGAAGGAGCACTGTGATGTACAAGACAATGGAGGCCAAGGTGATTGTGCGTATATTGCTGTAGGCCTTGGGCTTCATGAGCTCAAGCCTGGACACAAGCCTGTCCCTGCCAACGAGCTGGTACCAGGAGGACGTGTCCAGCAATCCCTCCGCCTTCTCGTGGCGGGAGAAGTTAAGAAGAACAAGCAGAAGTACGGAGCTACTGATGCAGATATCGCAAGAATTGGAACGTGTGGCAAGATGGCTGACTCCCTCACAATCAGGTGTACTTCCATTGCTGCAAAAGTTGATATTCGGATTTGGAAATTCAATCCAGATACCACAGGGGGCAGGTGGACCTTGTACACCAGCCCCAAGAAGTACAACAAAGTGGTTTGGGTCATGTTGAAAGATCAGCATTACCAACTGCTACGCCCCAAGTCGTCGCTCACAAAAGAAGTTGCTCAGCAATGGTGTGAAGCGGCCCTATCGTACCCAGATGCCTTCACTGGAGGAGGCAAGAGTGTGGCAGCATCCAGCAGCCACAAAGACGACGCCTTTGATGAGGACGAAGCGAGGAGTTTCTTTGGTATCTCAGCTGCATCTACCACGTCAGAGGTCAAGAGGGCGAGGTCTTTCCTTGGCGTCACGCCAAAGTCACGACACAAGTCCAGAGCAAGTGCATCGGCGGCAGGCCCTGCTGATGCTGTTCTCGACGAAGCTGCGGACCTCGAGCCATGCACGCCGGTGGATGTCTCACGGTCTGCCCACCTGAAGTGCCCAAGCTGTGGCTGGCTCCCTACGCGTGAGCAAGCTTGTGAAAGAGCTCAGGAGGCAAGGGTCCACTGGCGATATTGTGTCGGGACCACGCCCCCTGGGAAGACGAAGGAAGCTCAAGGAGAGGCAAATCGGCAGTTTGCTATACCTGGGCGCAATCGTGCTGTTCGGCAAAGAGCTTGGTTACGCTACTGTGAGTGGTATGACAAGCTCGACGCGGACTTCAAGCCAAATGTCTGCCATGTGGTGGAGGCAAGTGCGACTACCAGACAGACAAAGAGGCAGACTGATACGTACTATTCGTGCACGAGATGTGGAGTGCAGAGAACGATTGCCAAGCTAAAGCTTGAACCTTGTGCTAAGCGGGTGGATCGTACAATGAAGGCCAACGACGTGAAGGAGCGACTTCATGGCAAGGATGTCTGGGCGAAACGCTACAGGCAGACGTTGGCCAACCGCAGGAAGTGGTGCGAGAAGCCAGAGAACAAGGAGTATCTGAGGAAGTGGCAGCAGGACTACTTCAACAGACCTGGGCAGCGCACCTTCGCGGCCTACAGGCGCAAGTTGGCGGAGAGGAAGAAGGCGGCCAAGAAGCGGGAGGTGACACGTGCACGAGGTTGGGCGCGCAGGCGACCAGCTGCTGCTGCAGTGCGACGCCGACCCGCTGCCGCTGCAGAGTGACAAATATCCAAGGGGCCTACTGTGGTCAATGGTGGGCCCCCAGCTGCCAGCACAAGTGGCAGCAGCACAACGTATTTCCACGAGCACCTGAAATCCTTCGGAGTGCAAGGAAGCCATTTTCAAGTTCCAGATGGAAGTATGATGAGTATGAGTGGTGGTCTCCTCTGTCACGGATGGGTGCTTGCGCCCCACTGGCCTTCTGTAAAGAACGAAGGCTGGGCAGTGGCAGGGGTGGTCCTAAATATTAAAGCGATTTGGATCATGCGCTCCTACGAGGGCCAGAAGTACGAGGAGGTGCAGGACAGGCCTCATCGAGTTTCTGTGGAAAGTTTCACGAGTATGAGTGGATTCCTCCCTTGTCACGGGTGGGCGCTTGCGCCTAACCGGCCTCTCGTCGAAGACGAAGGCTGGGCAGTGGCAGGGGAGGCTTCACAGGCCAGCATCGGCGGCAGCAACACCATGTACCTCCACGAGTGCCTGCAGCTACCCAAGGTGCATGGAGGGTATCACCAAGTTTCTGTGGACAGTTTCACGTATTCAAGTGCAGTTTCTGTTGGACGTTTCACTCGAGTTTCTGTGGAAAGTTTCACGTATCCAAGTGAGGAGACCATGGTATCTACCTCGACACATATTCCGAATATCAATAGCATGGCAGATGATGTTGCCAGCACTATTGCGCTCCAGGAGACACGTCAGCAGTCTACATACCTTGGAGTGGACTACTTGGACGGCCGCAGCTTGATAAATGCTACAAGTGCCATCGTGGATGAGAGTTTCCAGTTCACGATCAAGCTTGATCCAGATGGTGGTTCAGCTGAGAACCAGATCAAACGCCATGATTGGAGCCGAGATGATGACCCCTTGCGTGCCATTGAACATCTTGGGGCAAAGTGTCGGCCAGCTGATCCTGAGTACCCATCCCACCTGAGGAAGGGATGGCAACAAGTGTACCAGGCCTTCGAGACGCTGAAGTTCATTCCAGGAGTTTCAGATGTTCAATATTGCCTGGCTTGCGTGTACATACGACCATAATGGTATTGGATTGCCCCTGTGGATGCACCCTTTCCTGATGGAGTACCTCTGCTACAGTTCAGGGTTATCATCAGAACGTTTACAAAGTGGTGGAAACATGGCAGGTGGTGGTTTTCAAGAATACACCTTCTATTCAGATATGGTGCAGCGTTATACTCACTTCTGCTGGCATTTGAGACTGGGGAGTGGTCGGATTTTCTGGAGCACTCACAGAGTGCATTCGCGGCGACCTCTGGCATCATGTGTATCAGGTTTGCAGAGCAGCGGGGACCACTACTCGAGTGTGATCTCCGTGATGATCATCGCGTCCTGGGTGCAGTTCGTGGCCAGGATGATGCCAAGAAGAAGTTGCTCAGCATATTTCTCTCTGGCAGAAAGTTATGGGCCGTATGCTCATACCATCAAGCAGCTCGTGGTATCTTTGCCACAACAAATGGCGCCGAGGCCCACTGGACAAGTGTATGCAGAGTTACGTCAATGACTGGTTGGATTGTGACTGGCCAGGCTCTGACAGTTATGATGCGAGCAAGGATGACGAAGTCAGCTGGTGAGTTGGAACCTCGTATTTTTGCTGAAGTTTGTGCACAGCGACTACACCATGCTGGACCAGCTGCTGGACCAGTTGGTGGTGATTAGTCTTATTGCAATGGAGCTATTCCTTGGTTAGTTTGCTTCATTCACCATCATCATCCGACCGTGTTGTAATCACTGGCGTCTTCGTCGTTGTCGTCGTCCGTCGTCTTCGTTGTCGTCGTCGTCGTTGTCGTCATCCGTCGTCGTCGGCGTCGGCCTCGTCGTCGGCGTCGGCCTCGTCGTCGTCGTCGTCGTGGTCGTCGTCCGTCGTCGTGGTCGTCGTCCCTGTCGTCGTCGTCGTCGTCGTCGTCGCCGTCGCCGTCGGCGTTGTCGTCGTCGGCGTCGTTTGTTGGCGGTGACGGCGACGACGTCGTCGTCGTCGTTGGGGCGGGGAGGGAGCCTTGGACCCGTCGAGTCATTTTCCCGGGGCAAAGGGGGTGGCGGAACGGGGGGTGCAGCCAGACTGCTCCGAATCAATTCCACGGTGGGATTGGGGGGGGGTCTGGACCTCCCGTCCCGGTCTTTGCTTGGGGGACGGGGGGTAACCGGAGGAAAGGGTTCTCCGCATGTTGTCCACATTTTGAAGAGTATGTTGAGGGGGGGCCGCAAAGAGGGGGGTGATGACTACGGGGGGTGGATATCATGGCGGGGGCCATGATGTTTCCCCAGATTTCATGGCGCCTCTTTTTTTTCTCATCACGCGTCCCTGGCCCCCCCGTTGGGCCGCGCACATGCCGCCCGCCATGATTTGCACCCCCCCTCTTGGACGCCCCCCTCCTTTGCCGCCCCTGATGTTGAGGGGGGGGCGACGGGGTTTCGTCTGGTCTGTGACGCCCCCGTTTTATGATTTGTTCCGGCCAGCGACGGTGGGTCGCGTTTTTATCAAGCATTTCAAGCGTTTGTGCCCCGCGCGGCGGCGAAGGCTACATCCCGTTCTCCGCTCGTTTAACACTTGCAATTTTTTGTGACGGATGTGCGCGGCGCTAAAAGGATAGTTTTTAGCACCCGGCAAAAAAGGACGCTACCCGGGGGAAGGGGGGATGGCCGGCAACGTCACGATTCTCGCCGGCGCCGTCTGCGAATGCCTGGGATTGCCCGGCAATGGCTGATGCCCAGACGGCGGTGGCGTGAATCGGAGCAGGAGGGGGGCCAGGAGATGGGTGAGGACCATGAGGATGGCACGGGCAGCAGGATGACGAGGAGGCCACATTCTACAGGCACTCCATGGCGCCAAGGTTTGCTGAGAAAGGATGAGAGCGAGCGGGCCAGGAGGAGGAGGAGGAGACCTTGCTGGAAACCACTGGGAAGTACGGTGGTCACAGGCGCCCATTGAGGTTCAGCGAGAGAGGGGGAGATAGAGAGAGACAGAGAGAGAGAGAGAGAGAGGGAGAAGAGAGAGAGAGAGAGAGAGAGAAACACAAACATAAAGAGAGACACAACAAATCAGAGAGGGAGAAAGAGAGAGAGAGAGAGAGAAGGCGAGCGCGAGGAGGAGGACAGGAAGAGAGAAAGAGAGAGAGAGGACGAGCGCGAGGAGGAGGAAAGGAGCAGGAGGGATGATGATGATGATGATTATGATGATGATGATGATGATGATGATGATGATGATGATGATGATGGTGATGGTGATGGTGATGGTGATGGTGATGGTGATGATGATGATGATGATGATGATGATGATGATGATGATGATGATGATGATGGTGATGATGATCATGATGATGAAGATGATGATGATGATGATGATGATGATGATGATGATGATGATGATGATGATGAGGAGGAGGAGGAGGAGGAGGAGGAGGAGCAGGAGGAGGAGGAGGAGGAAGAGGAGCAGGAGCAGGAGCAGGAGCAGGAGCAGGAGGGGGGGGGCAGGAGAGGAGCAGGAGCAGGCGCTTAGGGGGAGGGGAGGTGGGCGGGGAGGACGAGCAGCTGCGCGTGGAGCAGATGACCGAGGTGGTGGTGCACCGCGGCCCGGGGCTCAAGGTTTGAGTCGGGCATGTCCCTCTACAGGAGGAATGTTCAAGAATAGTCCAAACATAGCCTGGGGACGATGTTTTGAGTGCGTTTTGATTTTTGTTTTGGTATCTTTTGAATACTTCTAATGTGTCGCCCCAAATCCGCCTGTGGGGGGCCAGGCCCGACCTAACTCAAGGTCCTGACGCCGTTCGCCTACAGGTCCGCCAAGGTCGAGAAGGCGGGGAGGAGAGCTACAAATGCAAATGACTATCCACAAGCCCCCTGTGCTGGATGCTTGCTGACTCCTGTTGCTGGGTCTCTGCGCAGAGGAGGGCGGTCAAATCGTGTCACCCCTCCCGGAAACGGAAGACAGAAGACAGGAAGCGGAAGACACATCGTGCCCCCCCATTCGCTGTCTTCCGTTTGGGGGAGGATGATTATCAGGATGACGACCGATGATGATGGTTGATGATGGCGACGATGACGGCGATGATGATGCCGATGCCGGTGCCGACGGCAGTCATTGGACGGCTACCGCCGCCGCAAGATAGTGGGCCAATGTCCTTTGGAAGTAAAGCAGCAGCATATGCAGATACGGCCCAACGACATACATGGTGTGCGGTCTTCGGCCAGCTGGCCAGTCGGGATCGGGCGTTGGAGTTCCGGCCTCCGTGGCCCCACCAGTGCCACTCGTGAGCCTGGCTGCCTCGCCTCCTCCTGTGAAGGCAGTGTCCCTGGCCCGGCGCGTTGATCTGAACACTCGTTGGATGGAGTACACTGCGTGGTACAGTGGGGAGCCGTGCTGCACAACGTCATTGCTCTTGCTGCTAGCTGCTAGCTCTCCAGCAGCATGAAATTGCGCCCACCAGCTCCCGCATAACTTTCCTTCTCAGGGGTGCTGGAGTTTCGGCTTTCGCGAATTCGCCGATGCTACTCGTGGGCCCGGCTGCCTCACTTGCTCCGAGGTAAAACCAGTTTTCTTATGCCCAGCGCGTTCATTCGAATGCGGGTTATTTTGTGATTTTGATGGTGATGATGATGGTGATGATGATGATGATGATGATGATGATGATGATGATGATGATGATGATGGTGTCCATGGCGATGGTGATGGTGGTGGTGGCTGTAATGGTGCTGGTGGTGATGCCGATCGTGATGACTGACCTCTAACGATAGTGAGGATGCTGTTGTTGATAATGCTGATGCTGGTAATGCCGATGTATTGGTAATGTTGATGACGACCATGATGCTGCCGATGCTGCTGATGCTGATGATGATGATGATGATGAGGAGGCGGGAATGAGGAGGATGAATAGGCCACCATGCTGGGGGTGACCGACTACGCGAAGGTTCGAGACAAGGTGGACGGTTCCGAGAAGGTGATCAAGGGCCCACAACTGTTGTTCCTCGGCGCCTACGAGGCCCACTTCAATGGAAGACGATAATGGTATTGCTGCTGCTGCTGGTGACCATGACGTCGTCGATCACGCCGAGGACGCCAAAGACGACGACGGTGGTGGTGGTGATTGTGGTGATGGTTATGATGATGAGGGGGAGGAGGAGAGAGGGGAGGAGGAGGAGAAGGAGGAGAATGAGTGAGATGAGCAAGAGGAGGTCGGTGAGGGGGAGAAGAAGGAGGATCCGAAGGAGGAGCAGGAGAAGTAGGGGTAGGTGGAGGAGGGGGTAGTGGAGAAAAGTGAGGGATGGGAGATGGGGAAGGAGTTGGGGCAGGAGAAGGCGATCAAGGGTGGGAGGAAGAGGATGATGTTGCTGATGATGGTGGTGTGGGTGATGAAGATGGTGAGTGTGATGGTGGTGACGTGGATGAGGATTGCGACGATGAGGATGAGGATGATGGCGATGATGAATATGATGATACTGACGACGATGATGATGCTGCTGATGATGGTGATGCTGATGATGCTGCTGCTGATGATGATGTTGATGCTAATGTCGATGCTGGTGATGATGACGCTGATGTTGAGGATGATGATGCTGCTGTTAAGGATTATGATGGTCCTGATGCTTATGCTGCTGAAGATGATGATGCTGATGCTGCTGATGGTCGTGATGATGATGGAGGCGTTGGTGATGTTGGCGATTGTGATGATGATGGTTGTGATGATGATGCTGCCGATGACGGTGCTGCTGGTGCTCATGATGATGACGCTGATTATGATGATGATGCTGCTGCTCATGAAAACGGTGCTGATGATTAGGGTGATGATGTTGACGATGATACTGCTGATGATGACGATGCGGATGATGCTGCTGCTGATGATGATGATGATGCTGCTGATGCTGATACGGATGATGGCGATGCTGGTGATGCTGTTGCTGATGTTGCCGATGATGGTAATGATGGCGGTGATGGCGATGATTATTTTAATGGTGGTGATGATGATGATGATAATTGCGCTGATGATGCTGATGATGCTGATGACGATGATGATGATGATGCTGATGATGATGATGATGATGCTGATTCTTCTGATGATGATGAGGATGCTGATGCTGATGGTGATGATGCTGCTGCTGATGATGATTATGCTAATGCTGATGATGACATTGATGCTGATACTGATGCTGATTATGATGATGATGCTGATGATGATGATGATGATAATAATTCTGATGCTGCTGCTGATGATGATGATGATGATGCTGATGCTGATGCTGCTGCTGATGCTGCTGCTGCTGATGATGATGATTATGATGATGATGATGATGGTGGTGGTGGTGGTGATGATGATGATGATGACGATGACGATGACGATGATGATGATGATGATGATGATGATGATGATGATGATGATGATGATGATGATGATGATGATGATGATGATGATGATGATGGATGATGATGATGATGTGATGATGAATGAGACAGGGTGGAGCAGTATGAGGAGGAGGAGCAGTAGGGGAGGATGAGGAGGAGGAGGAGGAGGAGGAGGAGGAGGAGGAGGAGGAGGAGCAAGAGGAGCCGGAGGAACTGGAGAAGGAGATGTTTGGGGTGGGGGTTGGGGAGTGCAGGAGGAGGAGGGAGGAGGAGGAGGAGGAGGAGGAGGAGGAGGAGGAGGAGGAGGAGGAGGAGGAGGAGGGAGGATGGAGGGAGGAGGAGGAGGAGGAGGAGGAGGAGGAGGAAGGAGTTGGAGGTGTTGGAGACGATGATGTTTTGGAGGGGGGTGGAGAGGAGGAGGAGGAGGAGGAGGAGGAGGAGGAGGAGGAGGAGGAGGAGGTGGAGGAGGGGAGGAGGAGGAGGAGGAGGCGGAGGAGGAGGAGGAGGAGGAGGAGAAGGAGGAGGAGGAGGAGGAGGGGGAGGAGGAGGAGGAGGAGGAGGAGGAGGAGGAGGGAGGAGGAGGAGGAGGAGAGGAGGAGGAGGAGGAGGAGGAGGAGGAGGTAGGAGGAGGAGAGAGAGGAGGAGGAGGATGAGGAGGAGGAGGAGGAGGAGGAGGCGGGGAGAGGGAGGAGGAGCTAGCTGTAAGGCGAGGAGTATGAGTCGACGCTCGCAAGGCGGTCGTTGAGAACGGGCAGGGCCTAAGTCTCAGCGCCACCGAGTACGTGAGGGTGGTGAACCAGGCTCCGGCCCCCCGATCTGCCGAGCCATCGCCGCCCCTCCCCTCCGGGAGGGAGGCGATGAGGAATGTGTCGCTGGGGTGAGGGAGGGGGAGGAGAAGGAGGGGGAGGAGTAGGAGGAGGAGGAGGAGGGGGAGGAGGAGGAGGAGGAGGAGGAGGGGGAGGAGAGGAGGAGGAGGAGGAGGAGGAGGAGGAGGAGGAGGAAGAGGAGTAGGAGGGAGGCGGGAGGCAGAACCTCTCCTGACGTTTTTCTTGCCTTTCGTGACGCTTTCGCCTCCCTGGGTTTGCTTTTTCCAGGGCTTGACCGCCACTGCCCGCCCCCCCCCCCCTCGCTCCCCGCCCCCCTTTCTTGGCGGACATTGTAGTCGTGTCCTCCCCTTCCCCGCCCCGTCGCCCGCGCCTTCCCGCTCCTCCTTGCCACGTACTCCTTTTCTACCCCTTTCCCTCTCCTCGTCCTTCTCCCCTTTTTCTCCTTCTCTTCTTCTCTCCTCCTCCTCCTCCTCCTCCTCCTCCTCCTCCTCCGCTTCCTCCCCTTCCTTCTCCACCTCCACCTCTCCCCCCTTCCTCCTCCTCCTCCTCCATGTTTTGTCGTTATTGAATCTGATCTCCCTGTCGCACCCCGAGACGTTCGGTAGGGCGGGCCGGGCGTTTCGCTTGACACTTCTTTATCATGTGTGATCCTTAAGCTTGGAAGCTTGGACGAGCTTTGCGGATGAAGGGCGGGTGGTTTTCAACATGTGGTTCCCGCTTTGGCGCCGCGAACATTCGTCTTAGCGGATCTTTTTGACTAGGTGGTTCTCGCTATAGCGTTGCGCGCATTCGTTTTAAAAGCCTGCAAGAGTTTCACGGATGAAGGGTGGTTCTTTATTTACACGTGATTATCGCTTTAACGCCGCGCACATTCGTTTTCAAGGCTTGCAGTTTTGTTCATATGGTATGGTTGACGTAGCGGAATGGTGCTTCGGCACGATGTAGGAATGTAGGACTGTCAGGGTCGCATTGTTTCGCTGTTCTGAAGTCCAGGAATGGTGTTATGGCACGACACAGGATCGTCGGGACTCAATTTTCACGTTTGGTCGCGGACTTGAAGTCTCAGGAGTGTTTGCACGGTTTAGAATTTTGCAAACAGTTTTCTTCCAACGGGGCACATCCCTTGGTGAAAATTAGTCTTTGTGGGGATCGATGCCGAGGGACTCTGGAGGGAGGGCTTATTGCAACATCATTGGAGTCTTGGGTTTGCCCTGGTCCTCCTCCTCCTCCTCCTCCTCCTCCTCCTCCTCCTCCTCCAGGTGACCGGCGACGTCTCCGTGGAGAGGGGGCCGTCGATCTGGTTCCCGAAGGCGCAGGAGCGCGGCGAGAAGGGCACCGCCGTCAACCTGAGCAGCACGGAGTACGTGCGCATCGAGGACGATGGCCGCCGTCTCCCGCGATCCTTCAGAGCCCCGAATCATCAGGGGTAACTCGGGTCAGGGATAACTCGGGTTCGTTTTTCGGGAATCCAAGCCCGACTTACCCCAGACCCGAGTTACCCCGGATAACTCGGGCGTCCAGAGCCCCGAATCATCAGGGGTAACTCGGGTCAGGGATAACTCGGGTTTCTTTTTCGGGAATCCAAACCCGACTTACCCCGGACCCGAGTTACCCCGGATAACTCGGGCGTCCAGAGCCCCGAATCATCAGGGGTAACTCGGGTCAGGGATAACTCGGGTTCGTTTTTCGGGAATCCAAGCCCGACTTACCCCGGACCCGAGTTCGCGGATAACTCGGGCGTCCAGAGCCCCGAATCATCAGGGGTAACTCGGGTCAGGGATAACTCGGGTTTCTTTTTCGGGAATCCAAACCCGACTTACCCCGGACCCGAGTTACCCCGGATAACTCGGGCGCCCAAATCCTTGCTGTTGCCTCCATCTGCTCCTTCGGCTCTTCCGCCTTTCCTGGATGCGAGTCGTCCACCAACGTGCGGCTGTATGCAATAGCCAGGTCCGCCAGAGATACTGCGTTGCGTGAGCAGCTGCCGCCATCAAGAGCTCGCCGCGCTGGCAAGCGGAGCTGAGCCTCCTTCGTGTGCTCTGTCGCTCTTGGGCCTGGGCCTGCGCGCGCTCTAGTCGTCGGGGCTCGTGCTCCTCTCGTCCCTGCCCTTTCTCCGCCCACCCTCCATCGTCCCTCCTGCTCCCTTTCCTCCACCACTCCCCTCCATCTCCTCCCCGCCTCCTGCCGCCTCCGTCTGCTCCCCCTCTTCCTGCTGCTGGTTCCCTCTCCCGGGGAGGGAATAGGAGCAGCGGGAAAAGGGGGGAGAGGGGGGGTGGGGGCAAGGTAGGTGCAGAAACGTCTTATCTGACGTCTTAACCACCCTTCCCATCCCTTACCATGGCCTAAACCTCATATGTTTTCGCACAGTCGGATGTCGAACAGGGCAATGATCCAGAGAGGGTACGAGATGCATGGTAGTGCACGCCGTAGAAGAAAAGCACGACAGGGCGAACACATGTTCGGAGGGGGACCAGACATGACGCAAGACGAAGCATGTAAATGAACGGGTCGGAAACAGCAGAAACGTACAACGAGAGCCTTTGCTGTAGCGGGAACGCGATTTCGAATATCCGCAATGAGGAAGTGAGGTCAGCGCCACCGCGGGCGTAGGATTTGGAAGGGCTGCAGGCCAGAGAATGGAGCCAACGCTGTAGCAGTTGTAGAAGGAGCGCCATCCGGGAAACACCGAAAACGTTCGGATAGCACAACTTGTATGATCGACCACGTCTGAGGGATCCTATGTGTAGAAAATCACCAATACCCGCAATGAGTTGTCAACCCCATTGCTTGCACAATCATCCCACCCACCCACCCGCAAGTTTGTTTGCAAAACGCATGCAGCGGCGATTGCGATTGGTGCGTGGCGTTGGCTGGTGCATCTCTTCGGCCGTTTTAGCCCGCGCATGCTCGCGCGCGCAGCGGCCAGCTAGTGCGGCGCGACCGACGCGGTCGCGGTGTTGCTGACGGGCATCTCCCAGCGGGCACTTCGGTGCGAGTTGGTGACTTGGGCGGGCTCGGTATCATGGCGACGCCAGCAACGGCAGACACGATAATGATAGTAGCGACGATGGTGGCGATGCTGCCGATGTTGATCACGCCCGCCGATCACGATGACGATGTCCTCGCGTCGGCGACGAAGGCCTTGGAAAGAGTTCGGCATGCGCGCGCGGCCGACGCGTGCGAGTGGCCCGCGTGGTCTTAGTTGACACGGATCGTGCCGCCCCCCCCCCCAGCACGCGCGCAATAACGGCGTTGGGATGAGTTCAACACGCGGCGCGGCGCGAGAGGCCTGTCTGGCAAAATTCGATGACGATGTTGAAAACCTATGGCATCCTTTCGCAAGAACGCGCGCGCAGTTTTTTATTTTATAGAAACCTGCTGTGGCAAAGCCATGTTTTCATAATTGTTTTCGGGGTACTCGTTTTGACATCTTTACGACACTCAATCCAGGTTTTTCTTTTAAGTAGATTTCGGCATGCGCGCGCGACGGGTCGCGCGCGTGCGCACTTCGTCCCATGTTTTGGACAAAAGGGTTCTTGCGACAACACGCGCGCTAACACGTTCGAGCGATTTCGACATGCGCGCGCGATATGCCCGCATGGTAGCATGTTATGGACATGTTGAACAACCGATGGTTGTTGTGAGAATCTGCAATAACGCGATTCCAGGATTTGCTTGGAAATCCGTGTTGCGAAACTATGTTTCCTTTTTGGAAAATATAGGAATTAAGCTGGCGAGGGACCGCACTCAGAGGAGCTCCCTACAGGGCCACGTAACGTGTGAGGGGTGTGCCACAATTTGTCCGGTGGGCGCGTGCGAAAACAACCATTGGGGCCGTCGGTGGAATTCCCCATGGGGCCACTAAGTGCGTGAGACGTGTGCCGCAATAGGTGCGGCAGGCGCATGCGAACGCAGCCACTGGGGCCTTCGGTGGAGTTCCCTATAGTGCCGCGAAACGTGTGATGGGTGTGCCGACATGGGTGCGGTGGGCGCGTGCGAACGCAGCCATTGGGGCCTTCGGTGGAGCTTTTAGTGGGGCCGCGAAGCGTGTGAGGAGTGTGCCGAAGTGGGTGTGCGTGACGCATGCGGGTGGTGGCGCTGGGGCGTTCCGTGAAGCACCCTGTGGGGCCACGAAACGTGTGATGGGTGTGCCAGAATGGGTGTGCGTGACGCACGCGGGCGATGACATTGTGGCCTTCGGTGGAGTTTCCCATGGGACCACGAAAGCGTGAGGGGTGTGCCGCATCTGGTGTGCGTGACGCATGCAGCCGGTGGCACTGGCGCCTTCGGTGGAGCTTTCTGTGGGACCACGAAAGGTGTGAGGGGTGTGCCGGCATGGGTGTGCGTGACGCATGCGGGCGGTGGCGCTGGGGCCTTCCGTGGACCTCCCTGTGGGGCCACGAAACGTGTGAGGGGTGTGCCGAAATGGGTTTGCGTGGCGCCTGCGGGCGGTGGCACTGGCGCCTTCGGTGGAGTTCCCTATGGGGCCACGAAACGTGTGAGGGGTGTGCTGACATGGGTGTGCGTGACGCATGCGGGCGGTGGCGCTGGGGTCTTCGGTGGAGCTCCCTATGGGGCCACGAAGCGTGTGAGGAGTGTGCCGAAGTGGGTGTGCGTGGCGCCTGCGGGCGGTGGCACTGGTGCCTTCGGTGGAGCTCCCTATGGGGCCACGAAACGTGTGAGGGGTGTGCTGGCATGGGTGTGCGTGACGCATGCGGGCGGTGGCACTGGGGTCTTCGGTGGAGCTCCCTATGGGGCCACGAAGCGTGTGAGGAGTGTGCCGAAGTGGGTGTGCGTGACGCATGCGGGCGGTGGCACTGGCGCCTTCGGTGGAGCTCCCTATAGGGCCACGAAACGTGTGAGGAGTGTGCCGAAGTGGGTGTGCGTGACGCATGCGGGCGGTGGCGCTGGGGCCTTCCGTGGAGCACCCTATGGTGCCGAGAAACGTGTGAGGGGTGTGCCGAAATGGGTGTGCGTGATGCATGCGGGCGGTGGCACTGGCGCCTTCGGTGGAGCTCCCTATAGGGCCACGAAACGTGTGTGGGGTGTGCCGAAATGGGTGTGCGTGACGCATGCGGGCGGTGGCACTGGGGTCTTCGGTGGAGCTACTTATGGGGCCATAAAACGTGTGAGGGGTGATGGTGATGATGACGGCACTGATGATGATGGTGGTGATGAGGGCGGTCGTGATAAGGATGATGATGGTGATGACGTTGGTGATAAGGATGACGATCATGATGATGAATATGATGATGACGGGAGGAGGGGGGAGGGCGTGGGGCGCTGTCTCTTCAAAACGAAGACCCAACAACCGGGGGAAAACATGTTTTCGTGACACTCGATGTTGCTTTTCCTCGAAGCCTCAGGTTATCACATAATTCCAGCATGCATGCGCGACGACGCGTGCGTGTGTGCGCTTCTGTCAGTTTTTTGCAAGGGTTTTAAACTGTTGATTCCTGATAAACGGGTGTGTGCGCATAGTATTCTATGCAGAAGATAACGGTGGCGATTCCGGCCTGCCTGGGATGATACGGGTTCATATTTGGGATGGACGGTGGGGCACAGTCATATGCAAATTGTGCTACGAACATGTGGCCCCTTAAGTCCGGCGGGCGGGGGGGAACCGAACACTCCTTTAGAGAAGGAGAACCAACGCCCGGACGGGAAGCAGGCTACGCCCTCGGGGTCTTCTAGGAGAGTGGAGAGTAGTATTCACATTGTGTATTGGTGGCGAGAATTTGAGCAGCAGGAAGGGGGAGGACGACCAGGAGAAGGGACAGGGGGATACAGGGGGAGGGGGAGGGGGAGAGGAAGAGGGAGGAGGAGCACGAGGAAACGGGGGGGGGACGCAGGAAGAGGAAGAGGAAGGAGGGGGAGGGAGGAGGAGCAGCAGGAAGAGGGGGGAGGCGCAGGAAGAGGACGAGGGAGGAGGCAGCAGGAAGAGGGAGGAGAGCGAACGGGAGGAGGAGTCCCCTCTGCAAGCCTCCTCGCCCCCGCCGCTCGCTGAGGACCGGGCCACCGGCATGGAGCGCGTGGAGCAGGGCCCGCTGGTTTGGTTCCCGGGGCCGCTGGAGAAGGGCACGAAGGCCGCGGGGAGACGTGCCGAGGAGGAAGGCGACGAGGCACGAGGACGAAGAGGAGGAACGGAAGGGGGAGGAGGAGGAGGAGGAGGAGGAGGAGGAGGAGGAGGAGGAGGAGGACGAGGAGGAGAAGGAGGAGGAGGAGGAGAAGGAGGAGGAGGAGGACCAGTGTAAGCCCAAGAGTCCCCTCCCTCCAAGCTCCCTCTTCATAAGCCCCTACAGGGTTTTTTTTCCACTGAGTAAACTGCCTCGTTGGAAGACAACCGTTTGAAGACCCCGAAGCATGCCAAGACATTGTTCTCGGGATTTCTACGCAGGATCAGCATGACTGTTGCGTCGTGGTCTTGAATCGTGCCAGAACGCTATTCCTGGGACCTCAACTCCGCGAACCAACGTAACTGTTGCACCCGTATAATCCTAAACCTATCAAAAACACCGTTCTGGTAAGTTGATCATGTGAACCCGTGAAACCCTTGCAACATGCGGCGCTCAGACGAAAACCATTGTTTTTACACGGGTTGCCCTCAATCCTTGAAGCCCTTGCAAAATTTGAAGACGAATGTGTGCGGCGCTGAGGCGGGAGCCACATTTTGAAAATCACCCGCCCTCTACCTGTGAAGCCGTTGCGAATTGTGTGAAGTTTCAGAGCCATAAATGGTGAGGAAGTCTCAGGCGAAACGCCCGGCCCGCCCTAAAAACTGGCCTCGAATTGCAACAAAGAGAAATCATTTGTAAGGAAATGGGGTGAAGGAAAAGGAGGAGGATGGTGGTGGTGAGGAGGAGGAGGAGGAGGAGGACCAGGATGACCAGGCTGAGGAGGATGATGAGGAGGAGGAGGAGGAGGACCAGGAGGAGGAGGAGGAGAAGGAGGAGGACCAGGAGGAGGAAGAGGAGGAGGGGACGAAGGCCGCGGGGAGATCTCGCGGCGTATCCGGGCCGTCCATGCCAGGTCCCATTTCGATCCCATCGACCCGATTCGACACAGATTATGGTCGGCGTGATCCGATTCGATATCCCGACGACCCGATGCGGGGCCGATGCCCACACGGCGCTGCTGTGCATCCTGGCGCGGCCGATCTGCTTCGGCTCCGATTCCGTGCCGCTGCGGCCCCATTCGGTACGCATTCCGATCCGATGCGATCTCCCGACTCGGTGCTGACTGTTCCTGTCCAAGCTTCGGGGCCCCCAAACTTACCAGCCTGGGACATATCCCTATACCTATGCTGGGCACCTCCTCATCACGATGCCAACCTTAGGGATTCCCTTTTTTTGAGGGTGTATCCCTAAGATTGCCATCGCCTTTTGGCGTGTCAATCTTAGGGACAGGGATACGCTCGAGGCTGGTAACAAACGGTGCGGTGACTGCACTCTTGTGGCGGGCCAGTGAGGTTTTTCGGTGTGTTCATACGTTCTCGTGGGTTCTTCGATGTTTGCCTGCCTGCCTCGGGATGCGTTCCAGCCGCTGTGCCTCGCCGACAGCGTTCTGGGGGTGTCCAGATCGTCCCGAGCGGCCACCAGAGGCCCGAGTAACTGCCTGACAGCAAAGGCCTGGGACGATATGTGGCGAATGCTTGACTGGCCCCAGGGAAGCGGTCGGGACCTCTGGGGCGGCAACTATGTGTATATATATATATATGTATATATATATATTTGTATATATATGTGTGTATATATATATATATATATATATATATATATATGTGCTTACCCCGCTCGGCTTGTGTCGGCCATCGTCACGCCGCCTTCGTCGTATTGCAGGGCTTCGGTGCACCAGCACACGCTGGCGCCAACACACGTTCTGAGGATCATCGACGGGATGAAAAGCGGGTCCAGACCTCTGGGTACCCATGCCGTGAGAAAAGCGCGGCGTGGGATGTCTGGGCGCGTGGTGAGTCGGTTGGGGCTTCGGGTGGCCGCCCGGTTTGGAGACTTCGGGGTCGCTCTCCGCGGACCTCGCGGAGGACTTGTGCCTCCAGGGCCCCCCAGGGCGGTGCGTGGACGGGCCGTGCGGCGAGGTCGTTTGGGGGGTCCGAGGTCACTGCGCGCTCTGTCATCGCACCGTTTTGGGATGCTCGGCGAGTTGGGCCGCCGTCGATGGTATCGGAGGGCGGGGTCGCATCACCGATGCTTCGGCGATTGGCGGTGCGGCGCTATCCGCAGATTTCTCTCTTTCCATCCATCCAGCGTCGCCGATGCGTCGGGGATGCGGCGCGATTTTCGGCTCTTACCAGCTCAGCTTCCGAGTCAGGCGGCCTCCAGTATGGTCAGAAATATGTTCGGCATGATTATCCGTAAGGGCTTCGCCCCCTGCCGCCGGCCCCCTCCCTCGGAGAATGGGCCATGGAAGAGCTAAGTCATGAGGTCTTGGCGCTGTCGTGAAGCAGAATCGAAACTTCATGCGAAGCCGATTCGCAATCAGCAAAACCAACTGATCACAAGAGGGGTTACCACACCTGGCGATTGGTAAGACGTGTATGGTTTACGGGCTTGGTTACCACACCTTGCGATTAAAGGGCCGAGGGAGTTCTCGCAGTTTGGGTTACCACGCCTTGCGATGGATGTGCGTGAAGGGTGGCACCGAATTTCAGAAATGTGGCAAATCCCTTGTGTTTTTGGACCCTGACCCCGCGGATCTGCGTGAGGGGTGGCACCGAATTTCAGAAATGTGGCAAATCCCATGTGTTTTTGGACCCTGACCCCGCGGATCTGCGTGAGGGGTGGCACCGAATTTCAGAAATGTGGCAAATCCCATGTGTTTTTGGACCCTGACCCCGCGGATCTGCGTGAGGGGTGGCACCGAATTTCAGAAATGTGGCAAATCCCTTGTGTTTTTGGACCCTGACCCCGCGGATCTGCGTGAGGGGTGGCACCGAATTTCAGAAATGTGGCAAATCCCCTGTGTTTTTGGACCCTGACCCCGCGGATCTGCTTGAGGGGTGGCACCGAATTTCAGAAATGTGGCAAATCCCCTGTGTTTTTGGACCCTGACCCCGCGGATCTGCGTGAGGGGTGGCACCGAATTTCAGAAATGTGGCAAATCCCTTGTGTTTTTGGACCCTGACCACGCGGATCTGCGTGAGGGGTGGCACCGAATTTCAAACATGTGGCAAATCCCTTGTGTTTTTGGACCCTGACCCCGCGGATCTGCGTGAGGGGTGGCACCGAATTTTGGAAATGTGGCAAATCCCTTGTGTTTTTGGACCCTGACCCCGCGGATCTGCGTGAGGGGTGGCGATTTCGAGCCCCCCCAGCAATTCAGACAACGCGCCCAGGGGGTGCTAAAAATTCCGTTTGGGCCTCCCCCCCCCGCTCGCGCGGTCAATCACATAGTTACAGTAACCAGCAATAAGTCACTTTGTTACAGTAACCAGCAAGAAGCAGAACTGTAAACTGGAAACTACAAGCTACAACTGGTACAGGAAACTGCGAACCCGCGCCTACAGCCTGGTGGCCCCACAAGGGGGCCGGCGGATTCATATCTCCTCCTCCGCCCTCGTCTTGACTAAGCCTTCGCAGTTTTGAGAGTATTCCTTGCGGCGGGGCTCCGGCCTCAGCCAGAGGAATGCCGAGTGATGTTCGGGACGTGCACGTATGCATCTTATGCAGAATTCGGCGACAACCTTTGCGTTTGTCAGAGCATTCCCTGCGGAAGGCGCCTGGCGCCTCAGCCTGAGGGGCACGGAGTGAGATTCGCGACGTAAGCGCATCCATCTTTGCCACACTCCTGCGTCCCCCTCACCTTCCCTGCGTTGTCCGCAACCCGTGCGCCGCGTGAATCAGAGAAGCAAGAAGTCACGAGAACGATAACGATACACTCCACTATGTTTCCTAGATTCCCAGTTGTTCCACGTGAGTCCCGGGGTCGAGGACCGCTAGATACTCCCAAACTTCGCGAACCTAGCCTGAGCGGATTGCGTCATGACACCTTTCTCTCGGGGGCGGCAAAGAGGGGGGTGATGACTAGGGGGGGGGGTGGACTTCATGGCGGGGGCCACGCTATTTCCACAGATTTCATGGTGCCTCTTCCATTGCGTCCCTGGACCCCCCGCGGGGCCGCGCGCATGCCGCCGGTCATGACTTGCGCCACCCCCCTCTTGGGACGCCACCCTCTTGCCGCCCTCCGCCCCCGAGATCTCCGGATTTAGAGCAGCTGCGGAGCTATCGAAGACGCCTACGTTGAGGCCAGACCTGCCAAGCTATCAGACCATGTGTTCCCCGAATCGGTTTGGAAAGCCCCCCTCTTGGCCGCCCCCGATTCTCGCCCCAGTGAACACGGCCATCGGCACGTCAGCAGAGAATGGACCTGCCGGCAGGTGCCCCACCCTCCTCCTCCCCCCCTTCCCCTCCTCCCTCCTCCCATCCTCCCTCCTCCCTCCTCCTTCTCCTCCCTCCTCCTCCCTCCTCCTCCTCCTCCTTCCTCCTCCTCCCTCCTCCTCCTCTCCTCCTCCTCCTCCTCCTCCTCCCCCTCCCCCTCCTCCTCCCCCTCCCCCTGCCCCCTCCCTCTCCCCCTAGGAGATCGACGAAGAGTGTGCCCTGATATTCCATCTAGCAAGATGTCTTGTCGTATACGTCCACCCATCGGTCGTTGAACGTCGTTTTTTTCTGGATCCCCATATTCCAATCTACTTTCAGCGTCTTCCTACTTCAATGATCGAGTGGCTTCACCTTCTTCGCCCACCTCAGGGAGCGGACGGAACCCAATCTACTTTCAATGCCTACCTACTCCCTGCGGAAGGGCTCCGGCCTCAGCCTGAGCAGCACCGAGTACGTGCTGGTCGTCGACAAGCGCACCGGAGAGAAGAGGGTGCAGCCCGGCCCTTGCGTGTGGTTCCCGGGGCCCTCGGAGACGGGCACGAAGGCCGCGGGCATCAGCCTCAGCAGCACCGAGTTCGTGCTCGTGGAGGCCCTCGCCTCCTTTCGTCCCTGCTCCGTCCCCTTTGCCTCCTGGCCGCCCGCTGCTCCTGCCGCCCCTCCCCCTGGCTCCCCCATTCCCCTGCTCTGCCGCCCTGGCTCGGGCTCCCTCCTCGCCCCCCTCCCAGCCTCTACGCGGGATGGCTCGTGTCTTGTCCTCTGCATCATCGCCCTCCCCCCTCCTCCCGACCCCCTCCTCAGACCCCCTCCCCTGCGCACTCCCTGCTCCGCTCCGTCTCGCGCCACTAAGAAGTTCCAGCGACACCGTACTGGACCCAACGGCCACGCGCTCCCAAGCAGCAGCGCACGACCACACCCAGACCAAATGCCAAACAACAGCCGACCACGCAAAACAAGCACCCGACCTCAGGATTCCAATTGTCTGCCCGCCACCTGAGGACGCGAGAGCACAACGGTGGCTTCACGATGCTCACACGGCAGAGCTGGCTCCACAAGCATATGCCACCAGACAGGTTTGCTTCCCACCCAGGGCGCCGCCAAGCATACTTTACAGCCAGACAAGGACCGTGCCACAGGTCAGTCCAGACCACCGGGGACGTGTTTTCACCCACTGCCGCAAAGACCCGCGCTTCATGGGCTACATGGCCAAGGTTCGGCGACACCAGGCTCACTACCAACAACACCTTGCGGAAGTACGTCAATGCAATTCAGCACAGTGGACCTCGACATCAAGTTGCAGCTCATACGGCACAGGCGCCGCTAGTCTTCAAAGCGCCGCCCGCGCCTAAGCTGAACCAGATTCCGCCTACAGGACAGAGAACCAGTACTACGTCTACAGTGGCTACACTCATTGGTACGGCGGTCAATCTCGACTCCCACGACAGCTACCACATCCTTTTCGGTTACCGCAGAAGGCAGAAAGCCAATTACTGACTCCCCCACTCTTTATACATTGCATGTATGCTTTACCTGGGCTCCTCCTGCTGTCGTCATCGTATTCCCTCTCCTCCTTGCCTTCTCGCACCTGGGGCACCTACCGCCCTACCAGCCCATGGCTAATGTTGTTGGATCACCTCCTCCCTCCTCCCCCCCAGGGGCCGTGCCCCATTGATTGCTGAGGACAGCGGATGCCCTGCACATCCGCTTGCGGATGCGTAGGACATCTGTTCTCTTTTCTGTCGGTGGTCTACCTCCCCAGCCCCCCCCGCCTCTCTCCCGTCGTTGCTGCATGCCTCCAGGCCCGAGAGGTGCATCTTCCAATTTTGCCGCAACTTACCATTGCAGATTATTATTTTCGGCCTTGCTACTCTCTTAGCTCTTACTTGCATTGCCATCGGTGTTCGGATGTGTTTTCATCCGACAGTTGCCCGCGCGCCCCTTAGCTGCCAGTCGTGTGTTACTGTCTAGCGACGCTTGGGACCAGCTACCTTTTCTCGCAGTTCCACGCGCGTCTGTTCGCAATGTCATACGCTTTGCCGACATGCAGAGACTGTCACTCACGCGTCGCCCCATCTACCCCAGTTTGTAGCTCCTTCCCGTTCATGGCCTGGCTGCGTCGGCCCAACAGAATATACTTGGGGGCGGTGGTGGTGGGGAACATGAGGTGGCTTGAGTACTGGGGGGTGGACGACGGGGTTTCCTGCTGCTGTGTTTCAGCAAGCATAGTGCAGCTTTGTTGCTCAGTACCCCTTGAGTTTCCCCACGACGCTACTAGCTCTGCCATGTAATGTCGACCCGCCGGCATCATTGCATGCATCGCGAGTGTTGCACGGCTCACGCCTGTACGCCATCCGCACCGCAGTACTACTCCCGCTTCCGCATTCGAGTTGCCTCACGCTTGGTCTCTCTTACGTTAACGCTGCTCGCCTGGACCTATTCAATGTCCGGGGGAGGGGTGGGGGGCGCGCCTGGGTGCGTAGATCGGGTGCCAAGGCAACGACAGGCCGCAGCGTGCATTTAGAGTCGCCTGCATGATCATTTCTATTGTTGCCAGCGCATGTTAGGGAAACGAACTCTATACACCGAGGCTTTTCTCGACCCTGCGCTGAAATTCGCACAGGAACGCGGATTCTGGTGTATACAGGATCCTGGTGTATACGTTTTTCGTTGTTTTCCTGGGGCATCGGGGAAAAAGTACACACCACACCACCCCGGCGCCGTCCCCACACTCAAAAAAGCCCTGGGATTCAAAAAACCGCCCTCCACTGGTAGGGTTTAGGGTCAACAAGGCAAGGCGAGGAATACCTACCTGCATAGGCACTCACCTGCGGTGGCTATCAATCCCCCCCGCATCTCCACCCCCACATAAAGATCATCTCTCCTCTCATGTTCGACCGTGGCTGTACTGTATACGTTCCAGTCTCCGACACGTCGCTCCCTCCTCCGTCGGTTCCTCGTCGTGTTTGCCCCTCCTGCCTCTCCTCTATCCTTGCCCCCTTTCCGGGCCCCCCTGGCCCCCAGGGCAGGGTGAGCCCCGCGGACGCGCCAGGCCGGCCTCTGCCTTCCGGGCCGGCCTCCATTCGGGAGGGGAAAAAACACACAGGCACAATTAGTCGTCGATTCCAAAGAAATATGGGAAAATATGGGAAGCGGGGGGGGGGGAAGAAGACAGAGACCCAAAAAATATGGGACAATATGGGGAATCCTGTTATCCGTGTGTATTTTTCCCCACATCCTAAGTGGGGTTCTTGTTTTCTCTGCACACCCTCCGCGCAGGATCTCTCGTCCTCCTCCCTCTCCTCTGCTCCTCTTTGCTTCCTCCTCCGCATCATCATCACCATCACCATCACTCCCCACTCATCATCATCATCACTATCAGCATCACCATCACCATCGCACGATCACTCACCATCATCGGCATCGAACGATCATCATCATCATCATCATCATCATCATCACTACTCGCTGACTCACCACTTCGTCCCCATCATCATCACCACCAGTTACCATCAGAATCGCACGATCACTCACCATCAGCACTCATCATCACCATCATCATCATCATCACGTCGTCATCATCACCACCACCACATCATCATCATCATCATCATCATCATCATCATCATCACCATCATCATCATCATCATCATCATCATCATCATCATCATCATCATCATCATCATCATCATCATCATCATCATCATCATCATCATCATCATAATCATCATCATCATCATCATCATCATCATCATCATCATCATCAATCATATATCATCATCAAACACCGTCGTCATCATCCCATCACCATCATCCACCAAGAGGGAGCCTCGTCTGTGAGTGAATTGTGAGGAAGTCTCATGCGGGAGCCCCCTCCCTATGGGGCCCGCAGATCATGTTACTAATCCGAGCGGGTCATCGGAATCTGTAACTGTCGTCACTTTTGGCTCCTCAGGTTTTGAATTGGAGGAAGTATCAGGCGGGAGCCTCGTTGTCAGTGAATTGGGAGGAAGTCTCAGGCGGGAGCCCCTCCCTATGGGGCCCGCAGATTATGTTGGTAATCCGAGCGGGTCATCGGAACCTGTAACTGTCGTCACTTTTGGGCTCCTCAGGCCTGAATATGGAGGAAGTATCAGGCGGGAGCCTCGTCTGTGAGTGAATTGTGAGGAAGTCTCAGGCGGGAGCCCCCTCCCTATGGGGCCCGCAGATCATGTTAGTAATCCGAGCGGGTCATCGGATTCTTGTAACCGTCGTCACTTTTGGGCTCCTCAGGTTTGAATTTGGAAGACTATCAAGCGGGGACATTCGTCTGTGAGTGAATTGTGAGGACGCGTCAGGCGGGAGCCCCCTCCCCATGGGGCCCGCAGATGATGTTATTAATCCGAGCGGGTCATCGGATTCTTGTAACTGTCGTCATTTTTGGGCTCCTCAGGTGTGAGTTTGGAGGAAGTATCAAGCGGGAGCTTCGTCTGTGAGTGAATTGTGAGGAAGTCTCAGGCGGGAGCCCCCTCCTTGTGGGGCTTGCAAATCATGTTACAAATCCAAGCGGGTCATCGGATTCCTGTAACTGTCGTCACTTTTGGGTTCCTCAGGTTTGAATTTGGAAGAAGTATCAAGCGGGAGCCTCGTCTGTGAGTGAATTGTGAGGAAGTCTCAGGCGGGAGCCCCCTCCCTATGGGGCCCGCAGATCATGTTATTAATCCAAGCGGGTCATCGGATTCCTGTAACTGTCGTTTCTTTTGGGTTCCTCAGGTTTGAATTTGGAAGAAGTATCAAGCGGGAGCCTCGTCTGTGAGTGAATTGTGAGGAAGTCTCAAGCGGAAGCCCCCTCCCTATATGGCCAGCAGATCATGTTATTAATCCAAGCGGGTCATCGGATTCTTGTAGCTGTCGTCACTTTTGGGCTCCTCAGGTCTGAATTTGGAGGAAGTATCAGGCGGGAGCCTCGTTTGTCAGTGAATTGCGAGCAAGTCTCGGGCGGGAACCCCCTCCTTATGGGGCCCGCAGATCATGTTACTAATCCGAGCGGGTCATCGGATTCCTGTAACTGTCGTCACTTTTGGGCTCCTCAGGTTTGAATTTGGAAGAAGTATCAAGCGGGACCCTCGTCTGTGAGTGAATTGTGAGGACGCGTCAGGCGGGAGCCTTCCTATGGGTCCCGCAGCTCACGTGGTTCCTCCGGGTCATCCTCCGGCGCGCGCTTCCTCTGGGTCGTCCTCCGGCGCGTATCGGCTGGGACGCACGTCGTGCGCTTCCTCTGGGTCGTGTTCCGCACGAGGACGAGGAGGAGGAGGATTGCCAGGAAAAGGAGGAGGGATGATGCAGGACGAGACAGGAAAGCAGGAAGAGGAAGAGGCTGAGGGGAGGAAGGACGAGGAGGAAAAGGAGGAGGAGGAATGCCCGAGGAGGCCCCAGTAGGTCCCGGAAGGCCCAGAAGGCTCCAGGAGGCCCCAAGAGGCCCCAGGAGGCCCCAGGAGGGGGCAGGAGGCCTAAGGAGGAGGAGGCAGGAGGAGGAGGAGGAGGAGGAGGAGGAGGAGGAGGAGGAGGAGGAGGAGGAGGAGGAGGAGGAAGAGGAGGAGGAGGAGGGGGAGGAGGAGGGGAGGAGGAGGAGGAGGGGGGGGGAGAGAGGGGGAGGAATATATACGAGGAGGAGGAGGAGTAGGAGGTGGAGGAGGAGGAGGAGGTGGAGGAGGAGGGAGGAAGGAGGAGGGAGGAGGAGGAGGAGGAGGAGGAGGAGGAGGAGGAGGAGGAGGAGGAGGAGGAGGAGGAGGAGGAGGGGGAGGATGAGGAGGAGGAGGAGGAGGAGGAGGAGGAGGAGGAGGAGGAGGAGGAGGAGGAGGAGGAGGAGGAGGAGGGAGGAGGAGGAGGAGGAGGAGGAGGAGGAGGAGGAGGAGGAGGAGGAGGAGGAGGAGGAGGAGGAGGAGGAGGAGGAGGAGGAGGAGGAGGAGGAGGAGGAGGAGGAGAGAGAGAGGGAGAGGAGGAGGACAGGGGATGAGGAGGAGGAGGAGGAGGAGGAGGAGGAGGAGGAGGAGGAGGAGGAGAAGAAGGGAGAGGGAGAGCAGGAGGAGGAGGCAGGAGGCAGGAGGGGCAGGGGGAATGGGGGGGAGGAAGCATAACGAGGGGGAGGGGGAGGAGGTGGAGGAGGCAAGAAGAGGAGGAAGAGGCAGGGGTTGAGGCAGGAGGAGGAGCAGACAGGAGGAGAACGAGGAGGCAAGAGTAGGTGGGAGAAGGGAAGGGGCAGGAGGATACCCCCATGCAAGCTAAAGAGATTCTCATGTGGGGTCCTTCCGTCGGAGTGATTTTGTGTGTCCCGGGGCCCCCTTCATCCATGCGTCTCCTACCTGCACGTGCATCGGCAGTGGCCGTGCAGATTCGACAGGCCAGGCTCACTAGGCCAGGCTTGCCAGGGCAGCTGCTTCCCTGCCTCACGGCACGTGGGCTCGTGCGACTCCTCCGGGGAGAGCGGGCAGAGGGCTCGAGGGTCCGGGGTCCAAGGAGGCCTCTCGGGGTGAACCGAGAAACCACGGGCTGCCACCCACGAGCTGCCATCGGGAGCCTTGAGAGGAGGAGGAGGAGGAGGAGGAGGAGGAGGAGGAGGAGGAGGAGGAGGAGGAGGAGGAGGAGGAGGAGGAGGAGGAGGAGGAGGAGGAGGAGGAGGAGGAGGAGGAGGATGAGGAGGACGAGGACGAGGATGAGGACGAGGAGGAGGAGGAGGAGGAGGAGGAGGAGGAGGAGGAGGAGGAGGGGGCAGGGATGGTCGGGAGCCTTGAGACGGGGGTCAATGCAAACGAGGGTCAGCCAGAGCGCCCGATCCTGCAGGATCCTGCAGGGCCAGGGGCGCACTGGCCCGGGCTTGGGTGCAGGATACTGCAGGATCTTGCAGGCTCTTTCGCGTTGACCAGGGTTTGGGTGCAGCATCCTGCAGGATCTTTCAGGATTCTGCAAGGCCTGACTGACCCGGGTCTGGATTGGCCCGGGCCAGAAGGACCCCGATGCCATTGCTCGCACAGTCTTTTTGTTGCGACCTCAAGCTGCAGGCCGCAGCCACAAGCGAGGCGTGGATAGCGGATGCACTTCAGCTTCGGACGCTGTGACTGGACAGGTCAAGGATCGAGGGTACAGTCAGCCCGCATATTAAGGATGGGGGATGGGCAATCTTCACAAGGGAACCCTTGCATCCTTGCCTCCTCGGTCCATCCTTCGCCGCTTTCGCTGGCCGCGCCCCGCTCGAAAAGCTTCGAAATGGGCGTCCAAGGCCCTTGCATCCTTATCGCGCATCCTTACTGTACTGGTTGACTGTACTGCGCGGCTCTGTCTCTACAGTCTTTGCACCCAGGTGCTGCGTCCACCTCCTCCGCTAGGACCCTCTTACGTTGCGTTGGCGCTGCTCGCCTGGACCCGACCTAAAAAAATCGGGGGGGGGAGACGGGGGACTGCAATGGCTGGGAGTATGGATCGGGTGCCAAAGCATCAACAGGCTGCAGCGTACTTTTTAGAGCCGCCTGCCTTTTCATGCCTGCTGCTACAAGCGCACGGGAGGAACAAGGAGGATCGCCTGCCCCCTCCTCCATTTCGGGACCCCCTCACCTTCAGGGAGTGGCCCCGTGAATCGGTTATCTTTAGGCCTGAGCCCTGCCGGAAGGCACATCACAGGCCAGTCTTTGCAGTGCCAGCCTCACACGTTCTATTTTATATTCTCTGCCTCGAGTTCGATGCTAAATTCCCTTATGTTCCGTCCTTCACGTGCCGCGAGTATCCATTTTAATTTTCAAATTTTTGGGAAGTGGCATTTGCCAGACCACCTGCGTAGATCGTTCCCCTTCGTCGTTCCTCCGATCGTGTACTCAGTATTGTTATGTTTGTATTGGTATCCCCACCTCCTATCCATCATTGTGCCGCCGGCTTCCTTTACTTGCCTGACTATACCACTACACGGCAAGCCTGGACATACTGAAGAGGTTGGGAATTTACCCTTTATGGGGGTGGTGGTTGACAAACTAAGGTGCACACGCTTGCCGTATTGACCACTTGGCGGGCGCCTTCTCTTTTCTGTGCTTATGTGCCTTTCTTTTAAACCGTCATTCCCCGCTGCGCCCGCCAAAATTGTTGGCTGTTTCATCTCCTTGCCCAGTCTGTTGTGTTATTCTCATACCTGAACGCTGCGTGCTAGCACACTTCGTCCAAGCAACGTCAAACAGGACGAGGAGGAGGAGGAGGAGGTGCAGGGGGTGGAGGAGGAGGAGGAGGAAGCGAAAGAAGAAGCATGATAATAAGACAAACAACTATCAATAATACGAATGAGAAGAAACATGCTAATACTCATAATGAGAATAATCATGCTAAAAGGGCGAATCCGAATCATAATAAAACGACGAGTAATACGACGAATAAGAATAGGACTAATACTCACAATAAGAATACGGAGAAAAAAGAAGAAGGCGAACACTAATTAGAATAATGCGAATAATAATACGAAGACGAATCATACTAAAAATAAGAAGGGGAGTAGGAGGAGGAGGAGGAGGAGGAGGAGGAACAGCAGGAGCAGGAGGAGGAGGGGGTGGAGGAGGTGGAGGAGGAGGAGGAGGAGGAGGAGGAGGAGGGGGGGGGTGTGGTCGGGGGAGGAGGAGGAGGAGGAGGAAGAGGAGGAGGAGGAGGAGGAGGAGGAGGGGGAGGAGGAGGAGGAACAATAATAGTATTAGTAAGAAAAAGACTAATACTCATAATAATAATAATAATAGTCCATCTATGACGAAGAATAATAAGAAGACGACTACGAATACAAATGCGAACCATACGAGTAATAATACTTTTAAGACGAATAGTATTATGAAGACCAACACTAATATTAATATTAATACTACCAGCAATAATAATACCTTTGCCAATGCTATTGGGAATACTAAGAAGAATAACGCGACAGCTAAGCATATTACTAAGATGATCAGTAATACTAGAACAGTAATATTACATATGATAAGAAGAATCATCGTATTATTACTACGAATAATATAAGAATAAAAATACTAATGCTACTACTGCACTAATGATACTAAGACGACTAAGAAAAACAATGCTATTTAGAATAATAATGACAATACGAATAATGCTAAGAATGCTAGACCATGGGAATCATAACAATACTAATACGACCACTATCAATAATACTAAGAAGAAGGGGAGGGGGAGAAGGAGGAGGAGGAGGAGGAGCAGGAGCAGGAGGAGGAGGTGGAGGACGAGGAGCAGGAGGAGGGGGAGGTCGGGGGAGGAGGAGGAGATGTGGGAGGAGGAGGAATACTAATAAGAAGACGAATAGTCAGACGAATGATCATAATACTTATACTATGAAGAATAAGAACACATACTAATTCTCAAAAGAAGACAACTAACATAATACTAACAATACTCAGAATACTTAATTGCGAAGACTATTTATACGAAGAAGAATCGTACTAATACCATTAATGCTAATACTACTAACAAGGAGAAGAAGAGGAGGAGGAGGAGGAGGAGGAGGAGGAGGAGCACTAGCAGGAGGAGGAGGAGGAGGAGGAGGAGGAGGTGGAGGAGGAGGAGGAGGAGGAGGGGGGGGGGTCGGGGGGAGGAGGAGGAACGAGGAGGAGGAGGAGGAGGAGGAGGAGGAGGAGGAGGAGGAGCAGGAGGAGGTGGAGGAGGAGGAGGAGGAGGAGGAGGAGGAGGAGGAGGAGGAGAGAGTGGAGGAGGGAGGGCCCTTCTTTTTTTGGGGGGTCTTCTCTCCGCCGAGAGGACAGCCTGACCGGCGATCGCCGCGTGGAGCGGGGGCCCCGCGTCTGGTTCCCCGGGCCCCACGAGACGGGCAGCCGGGGCGACGCGACCAGCCTCGGGGCCACCGAGTACGTCGCGGTTGAGGACGCCGGAACCTATGATCTAGAACGATGTTCGTCGGGGTCAGGTTTTCGGGCGCTTTCGTCGATTCTCCTCGGCGGCTTTTCGGGATCGGGGTGCGTTCAGCAGCTGCGCCTCGCTCGGGGCGCTCGGGGATGCCCGGATCGTCCCACATGGCCGCCAGAGGCCCGAGTTACGGCTGAAAACCAATGATGTTCGACGATGTGATTGTCTCCCCCCCTCACCCCACTCGTCCCCCTCCTCCTCCTCGTCCTCCTCCTCCCTCCTCCTCCTCCTCCTCCTCCTCCTCCTCCTCCTCCTCCTCCTCCTCCTCCGATGTCGGCCTCCGGGCCTGACATCGGGCTCCAGGACCAGAGCAAAAGCTTGGGCCCCGGGCGCAGAGCCACCCCCAGGGAAGGGGTCGGGAGCTCCGGGGCCGCGGGGCGACAAACGCCAGATCCGCGGATGTCTGGGCTCTGGGTTCGAGGGTCCGAGACTTCGGGATGTTTTCTTTCGGGGTCCTCGGATCACCACCCACCAAACCACCCCAACCCAACCCGAAGGCTCAGATTTACCCTCGATTTCCAGTGGGGGGGGGTCGGGAAACATCGAAATAACACATGTGGAACCCTTACCCCCCCAACCCGAAATTCGGGTCTTCGGGTTGGGTTGGGGTGGTCTGGTAGGCAGTCATCGGAGGCCCTCCAGTCTCGTGCTCTCCAGCATCTGAGCCTCGCCGAGAGCGTTCCCCGGGGTGCCCCGGGTCGTCCCGAACGGCCGGCCCGAGACCCGAGCTGTGGCCCGAAAGCGAGGCCTCGCCTCGCGCATTACTCAACGGGCACTCCAATGCGGGTCTGGGATGACTCGCGTCCCTGTCGAGAAGTCTGGGAGTCGGAGTTCTGGTGCAGAAGGTTCGGGAGCTCTGTCCCTCTCTCGTCCCCTTCCCCCTCCTGCCGAGGGAGGCATGCTGGGGAGAGAATGGAGCGAAGGGGGGGGGGAAGGGGCGAGAGCTCTTTCCTCAGCGCGAGGCTGCGGTGCAAAGGTAGACCTGGGCATCCCCACTTCGCCGCCCCACCCCACCCCCTCCCTCGCGGGAGGTGGCAGAGGATGACGGAAGGGGGAGGGGCGGATGTCAGTGGGCGAGCAGATGGGTGGGTGCATGTGGGTAGGCGGGCGGGGCGGAGAGAGAGAGAGAGAGAGAGAGAGAGATAGAGAGAGAGGACGCCCTCACTGGTGACAAGAAGCTCGTGAGGGGCCCCTGTGTGTGGTTCCCGTCACCCTACGACACGGTCTCGTCGACGAAGACAGCCATCGCCCTGCAAGACGACGAGTACGTGCGGCTCAAGGACGGGCACTCCGGCAAGCGCTGGATACAGAAGGGCAGCTGCGGGCGACGAACACATCCGTGTCGACGCCCTCGCGGCCTGGATGCCGAGGCGAGGCCCCGCGGGTGCGCGATCTCGTGGGTGCGCTCCGCCTGGGGCGTCCCTGCAGCGCCGCCCTGCACCCTCGGGGCCGCTGGCCGCGGAGGCCAGGCCGCGGGGCCGTGGATGCGTGCCAACCTGCCCCCCGCCCGCGAGGCAAGGCGCTCGTGTTCCTGGAGCCCACGTGGGAGGTGGAGCGAGCGAGCATCAGGAGTCGGGGCGCAAGCGGTGACGCGCTTCACACAACCACTGTTGGGGTTTGGACAGACCTCCTATCCTGACGCGTCGAGTAAGGACTTGGCGGTTTTCGGTTCGCGAGAGGGCGTCGCGGCCGTCATTTTGGTGGGTCCAGGTCCGTCGGTTTCGGTCCCAGGCCGTTTTCATTAAAAGGGGAGGTTTGCTGAAGGGAGGTCTGTACACTGCCGAAGCATATGTCGGAGGTTTGCTGAAGGGAGGTTTGCCAAAGGGAGGTCCGTCGGTTTCGGTTCCGGGCCGTTTTCCTTAAGGGGAGGTTTGCTGAAAAGGGAGGTCTGTACACCGCCGAAGCATGTCGGAGGTCCGAGCGCGGGGTGCTCGGGTCGGCGCTGGAGCCCCCCCCTGGCGCCGCCACCCGGCGCCGTCCCTGGCGCGCTCCGGGGGCCGCGCGCGAGCCCTGCCCTCTGCCCCCCCCCACGAAGTCTGAGGGGGGGGGGTGCACTTCGTTCGGGAGGGGAAAAAACTTACGGACACAATCAATCGTCGACCCCCCAGAAAATGTGGGAACATGTGGGAAGTGGGGGGCAAGGCAAAAACCCAGAAGATCTAGGAAAATATGGGGCGTATTTTTATTTGTGTGTATTTATTTGTGTGTCCTGGGGCCCCTTCAATCGTTCGTGAGTTCCCGAGCGAAGCGGACCCCGCCCTCCCCCTCAGAGGTCGTGTGGGGCAGGGGCAGGGTTCGCGTGTGACCCCCGGAGCGCTCCGTGCGCCAGGGAGAGGGGTCCGGCGGCGGTGCAAGAAATCCGCGCGGACCTCCAGCAGCTCTTGCTGTACAGGTTTTTGTGTCGATAATCCTCAGGTTCGTGTGTTCGCCGAATGTGTGTGTGTGTGTTTGCCCCGTTCGGCCCTCCTCACACTGGCTGCGCCCTTGAAAAGAGCTCCGCTGGACGAGCACGCGCTGGCGCTAGCACACGTTCTGAGGATCATCGACGTTTGTTCCCGCGAGGAAGGCCATGGTGCTGAAGGCCTACGAATACGTGCGGCTCGTGGACGCCACGACGGGCAAGGTGACCACCCACAGGGGGGAGGCGACGGTCTTCCCCGGCCCGGACGAGGAGCCCCTCGACGGCGACAAGATCAGTGCCATCGACCTGAAGGTGAACGAGTACGTGAAGATCATTGACCAGGCTTATGATGTTCCAACCTACTTTAGCCTTGATAGACCAGGAAGAATTTCGAGCACCAGCGAAGTACCGAAATTGTTGACGCTTCGCGTATCCCCACCAGTACTCGCCGCCGCTGGCGCTTCCGCCCGCGGCTGTAAAAAAACAAGTATCCCCACCAGCCCATCCAGAAACGATGCCCAGGGGAGTTGAGGTGATCAGGGAAGTCGGGGAGCCTGCAGAATAACAAAGGGCAGGGGAAGCTGTCACGTACCCCAAGAGGGGGAGGATGGAGAAGGAATCCTCGTCGGAGGGGGAGGGGGAGGAAGAGGAGGAGGAGGAGGAGGAGGAGAATGAGGAGGAGGATGTGGAGTAGGGAGAGGACGAGGAGGACGAAGAAGGAGGAAGAATCGGAGGAGGAGAAGGGGAAGGAGCTTCTGGGGGTCTTTTGAGAGCCTCTTGGAGGACTCTTGGGCGCCTCTTGGGGCATCCTGGGCGCCTCTTGGGACCCACTTGAGGCGCTCTAGGGAGCCTTCGGGGCGCTTTGGGGGCCATCTTGGAGGGAGTCGATCAAACAAAAGGGGGGGTTCAATTAGCCTCCCCCCTCAGGAGCTCCAAAAATCCCCTCTTGGGCCCCTCTGGGAGCGTTCTTGGAGCGCTCTTGGGCGCTCTTGGGGCCGTCTTGGGGCTGTCTTGGGCCTCTCGTGGGGCCCTCTTGGGCCATCTTGGAGCCATCTTGAGGCCTCGGATGGCCATCGGAAGCGAAAAGGCGAGAAAGCCAAACACATTGATTTGGGACGATTTTGGGCCTCGTCGGGGCCTCGTCGGGGAACTCTTTGGCCTCTTGGAGCCGTCTTGGGGAGGTCTTGGGGTCTCTTGGAACATCTTGGGAGCCATCTCGAGCGATCTTGCGCTATCTTGAGCCATCTTGGATCTCATCTTGGGCTCTCTGACGCGCTCTTGAAGCCATCTTGGGGCCAAAAGAGCCGTCCGACACCTCGCGGCCCGCCCCGTCCAGGTCCAGGGGAGGGGGTAGGGGGAGGGGTAAACCCCTCCCCAAGGGGGAAGAGGGAGGGGTGGAAGAGGATCTGCTCTAGACCACCTACGCCCAGAGGGCTGGTGGGACTTGAGGGTTTTCACGTGTCGGGCCCTGGGAGGCGACACTCGTTCGACATGATTTCGAAGGCATCGATCAGGGGCAACGATAGGGGGGGATAGCCATACGGGGGCATGCATCGATCCCCAATCGCCCACTGAGCGCCGATGGGGGCCCGATAGCCCCACCCCGCCGCGGAAGGTGCGGATTCACGATCGGGAGCCCACCGCCGATCCATCGGCGATGCATCGCCGATTCCAGGTCGATGCAAGCGGGGGGTTTGGTGGAGGGGGGAAGACTTCTTGGAGAGAGGCGCCGAGGGCGCATTCTCAGAGGGCGCGGGTCGCGTCTCTAGACGTGGGGCCGGCGCCTTCTCAGCAGCAGCCTCCTTCTCAGACGCCTCCCCCCCCTCCCCCTGCCCCCCCGTGCGCGCCGCGACAAATCAATGCGTGAGCATAAGTATTCGGGGGTCCTCGGACCCGCGCTGGAACCCTCGCCTTGGCGTCAAGTCGGGCCCGTCCCTCCACAGGAGAAAAAAATGCAAGAATGGCCGAACAAAAAATGGTCGGGGGACGACTGTTCGACCATCTGGCCATGCTGGAACATGTTTGGTGTATTTTTGGTCTTTCGTCCAGAATCCGCCTGTGGGAGGACAGGCCCGACCTAGCCTCGGCGCGCGGAGCGCGCCCCCGGGGCGGCGCTCTCAATGCGCCGCGAGGGGGGGGGGGGGCCGGGTGCCGACCCGAGGCATCTGCGCAGGCCTCCGACAAGAGTCTATGTGCGCGTAGTCGGTGGCCTTTGGCCCCACCGTAGCGCCGTGCCCTGGACAGATCGTCTGGCGGTCAGTTTCTGAATTCAAAACACAAGGCCGGCTTCTGGAATGCAGAAGCAGATTTTTTCAGATTCAAAAGCGAGGTTCTGTAAGATTCCCCCCAAGAGGCCTTCGTGGACCTTCTGGGACCTGTCCGTACCGGAGGAGTATGCAGAAATAGTCAGGATTTTTTTCAGTGGACGATTTTTTGAGTATGTGTTGTCACCTTTGAATCTTTTTGGGCTACTTTCATTGTTTCGTCGAAAACTCGCCTGTAGGGGGACATGCCCGACCTAACCTTTGGGCTCGAAAAAGTCATTTGAGAAGACGCCCCGGGCGCGGCAGGACCCTTGGAATATTTGGGAATGCGGGGTCCAGGCGGCTGCAAGTGTCGGCAAGATTGAGGCCAGAGGGCCCGAGGGCACTCAGAGTCGTGCCCCGCGGCGCGGTGGCGGACGCAATCTTCTTTCCCCTTCTGTCACCGAGCGCGTGCGTGCCGCTACTCGCAAAGTGCCTACTCGCAAACGTCCGTGAAAACATGTGTCAGGGGGGAAAAAGCACAGACACAATTACTCGTCGATTCCCAAGAAAATAGGGGAGAATCTGGGAAGTGGGGGGGAAGACGAAAACCCAGACAATATGATCAAATATGGGGAAACCTGCTAGTTGTGTATGTGTTTTTTTGTGTCCCAGGGCCCCTTCGATGTGCCCCTCTGTGTCGTGTGTCGTAGGTCCCCCAAGGCGGATCCAGGGCAGTTGCGAGCAGAAGCCCTGCGAGTATTTAGGGGAGCGTGCCCGTCGGTGCCGAGGCAACGGGCGACATCAGGGTGGAGGCCGGGACCACGCAAGTGTTCCTGGGCCCGCACGAGAAGGCCTGGGGGCGGCAAGGAGGGGGGTGATGACTAGGGTCAAGTCGGGCCTGCGCCTCATGGGGAATATTCAAACATAGTTAAAACATAGTCTGAGGACCATATTTTTTGTTAATGCAATTTTTGAATATTTGTGGGGCATTTTGGGGTATTTTTATCTTTGCTCCAAAATCCCCCTGTAGGGGGACATGCCCGACCTAAGACTACGGGGGGTGGATATCATGGCGTGGGCCATGCCATTTCCCCGATTTCATGGCGCCTCTTCTTATCTCAGTGCGTCGCCGGCCCACCCTTTGGCCGCGCACATGCCGCCGGCCATGATTTGCACCCCCCCTCTTGGACGCCCCCCTTTCTGGCCGCCCCCCGAAGGTCCTGGACGGGGGCAAGAAGAAGGCCGTGGAGGTGGACGGAGAGCACGCGGCGCTGGTGCGCAACAAGAGCACGGGCCAGCTGCGGCCGTCAGGGGCAACGACAGCGGGGGATGGGCACGGGGGGGGCGCATGGACCCCCCAATCGCCCATGGATCGCCGACAGGGGCCGCACAGGCCCAGCCTGCACAGGAAGGTGCTGATTCACTATTCGGGGGCCTATCGCCGATCTATCGTCCGACAGGGGCCGCACAGGCCCAGCCTGCACAGGAAGGTGCTGATTCACTTTTGGGGGGCCTATCGCCGATCTATCGTCCGACAGGGGCCCCATGGGCCCAACCTGCACAGGAAGGTGCCGACTCTCTGTCTGGGGCCCATCGCCGATCTATCGTCGATGCATCGCCGATTCCAGGTCGACGCACGCTCCCCCCCTATGCCAGCCCCACCCTATCGTTAAGTCGGGCCTGTCCCTCTACAGGGGGAATATTCAAACATACTCCAAAAATAGTCAGGGGACTATTTTTTGAGTATTTTTGGGCAGTCTTGCTGGCGGCGGCGTCAAGCAGCTTCAAGTCAGCGCTCTTCACTGGGGTTCTCGTGCACCCCATTCTGCCGAGCGGTTCGTCGCCCTTCGGAATCCTGGCAATCGAAGCGTGTCTCAGATCATATGGTGTATTGGTCGTGACGATGTATTGGTCGTGGGGGTATTTTTTATATTTCGTCCACAATCCCCCTGTGTGGGGGACACGCCCGACCTAACCCTGTCGTTGCCCCTCAGGCTGGTCACGGAGAGCCAGCTCTTCGTGCCCGGCCCGCACGAGTCCATCGAGGCCGTGCAGGATCCGCGCGACGGATGCGGGTGCGGTGGATCGGGGGCGGCAAAGATGGGGGTGACGACAAGGGGGGGCGGGAGGAGGAGGAGGGGGAGGGGGAGGAGGAGGAGGAGGAGGAGGAGGAGGAGGAGGAGGAGGAGGAGGAGGAGGAGGAGGAGGAGGAGGAGGAGGAGGAGGAGGAGGAGGAGGAGGAGGAGGAGGAGGAGGGGGGGGGATTTCATGGCGCTGGCCATGATATTTCCCCAGATTTCATGGCGCCTCCTCTCATTTCATTGCGTCCCTGGCCCCCCCGTTGGGACATGCCGCCGATCATGATTTGCACCCCCCCCTCTTGGACGCCCCCCTCTTGACCGCTCCCGAGATGCGGGTGCAGTGGACGGTAGATGCGCTTTGTGACCGTGTGGTTTGGTTTTGCCATTCCCGCTCTGCTTTCGAGGTCTGTTCAGCTTTGTCTGCATTTGGACTGCATTCGGCCACTCCCCCTGGTCCCCCTGGTACTCCTCGCCCATCCTGATCTCCTCGTTACTATCGTCTCCCTTGTCAAGGTGCGAATCTGGTCCAACCCTGGCCCCACGTGTTCCAAATTCTGTCCAAATCAGGCCATAATCAGACAGCGCCGGGGGCAATGTAGGAAAGAGTGCGCTCGTGGCACACTTCTCATTGAAAGGGGGGCGCCACCCCCTGGAAACGGGGTGGGGCTTCCGAAGCTACCCCCCCCTCCCTTCCTTCGGTGGGTAGGGGCCCTAGCTGAAGGGGGGGGAGCTTCAAAGCTACCCCTCTCTTTCCTCTTCCTGAGCCCAAGGTCAGCCGGGGCTGACCTTTCAAAGGGGGGGCGTCTTCGGATGCTACCCCTCTCTCCTTCTCGCAATTGCGATTGCCTTGCCATGAGGGGGGGCTTCAAAGCTACCCCCCCTCCCACTTCCGCAGGCCAGAGTCAGCCTGGGCTTCCCTTTCAAAGGGTGGGGGATTTGGAAGCCGCCCCTTCCCTTTCTTTCGCGGCTTGCCAAAGGAGGGGGCTTCAAAGCTACCCCCCTTCCCCTGTTCCGGGGTCCAAGGTCAGCCCTGGCTTCCCTTTCAAGGGGGTGTGGCTTCGGAAACAAACACCCCCCACCTTCCTCTTTTCGCAGCCGGGATTGCGTTGCCAAGGAGGGGGGGGTCGAAGGTACGCCTTCCTTATGTTTTTTTTTCGGGGCCGAAGGTTCGCTGGGGTTTGCCTTTGCAAGGGGGGGAGGGCGCTTCGGAAGCCACCTCCCGCCCTGCCCCTCTCCTATCGCAGCCATGTGGTTTGCAGACGGGGGCCCAACATGCGCCCGGCGCGTGCGCGCGGGGCAAGTGTTTTCACGCATCCACGGGGCCCTGGGGGATTCACTTTGGGGGTGGCGAGTTACGCACAGGGGGGCAACGAAGGGGGGGCTCAACAACCCTAACAAGTATTTAAGAACTCCCCCCTTCTGGCAAAAGGATCATTTCCCGCGCCAGGAAGCACCTGGAATCGCTGTTCTCGCACCGCAAGGATGATTGTGGCTCTCGCCTTAGCGCCGCGCGAATTCGTTGCAAAAACTTGCAGGAGTTTCGCGGTCGAGGGCGGTTTGTGGCCCTCGCCGTAGCGTCGCGCACATTCGCTTCAAATATTTGCAGGAGCTTCACGGATTGAGGGCGGCTTGTTTTAAATATGTGCCTCTCGCCTTAGGGCCCGGCACATTCGTTTCAATTATTTGCAAGGGTTTCACGGACGGGGGCTGGGTAGTTTTCAAGATGTGGTTCTCGCCTCAGCGCCGCGCACAGTCGTGTGGAACATGTTGCAATAATTTCACGGATTGAGGGCGGCTCGTTTTCAAAGTGCTGCTCTCGCCTTAGCACATCGCACATTCGTTTTAAAAAATTGCAAGAGGTTCACTGATTGAAGGCGGCTAGGTTTCAAAATATAGTTTTCGCCTCAGCGCCGCGCGCATTCGTTTTGAAAACGTTGCAAGAGTTTCACGGATGGAGTGCGGGTAGTTTTCAAAACGTGGTTCTCGCATTAGCGCCGTGCACGTTCGTTTCAATCATGTGCAAGAGCTTCGCGGATTGAGGGCGGCTCGTTTTCAAAATGTGGCTCTCTTCTCAGCGGCGCGCGGAGTCTTTTCGAAAGCGTTGCAAGAACTTCACGGATTGAGCGCTGCTCGTTGTTTTAGATGTTGTTCTCGCTTTGAACGCCGCGGACATTCGCTAAACACAATTTGCAAGAGCTTCACAGATGTAAGGCGGGTAGTGGCGGGTAGTTTTCAAGATGTGGTTCTCGCCTAAGGGCATTAGCGCCGCGCACATTCGTTTCAATCATTTGCAAGAGTTTCACGGGTTGAGGGCGGCTCGTTTTCAAGGTGTGGTTCTCGCCTCAGCGCCGAGCACATTCGTTTCAAACATTTGCAAGAGCTTCACGTCACGGATGGAGGGTGGGTAGTTTTCAAAGTGTGGTTCTCGCTGCGGCGCCGCACACATTCGTTTTGAAAACGTTGCAAGAGTTTCACGGGTTGACGGCGGCCTTACTACTCTACTCTATTAATCGACTATTACCTATGTTCTAGTAAAATTATTATTGTTCGTACTACTGCGACGACGACGACTACTACTACTACTACTTCTACCTACTACTACCTACTACTACTACTACTACTACTACTACTACTACTACTACTACTACTACTACTACTACTACTACTACTACTACTACTACTACTACTACTACTACTACTACTACTACTACGACTACTACTACTACTACTACTACTACTACTACTACTACTACTACTACTACTACTACTACTACTACTACTACTACTACTACTACTACTACTACTACTACTACTACTACTACTACTACTACTACTACTACTACTACTACTACTACTACTACTACTACTACTACTACTACTACTACTACTACTACTACTACTACTACTACTACTACTACTACTACTACTACTACTACTACTACTACTACTACTACTACTACTACTGCTGCTGCTGCTGCTGCTGCTGCTGCTGCTACATATACTACGGATTTTACTACTACTACAATTATTTTTTATCATCATTTCTATTACTACTACTACTACTGCTGCTGCTGCTGCTACTACTACTACTACTACTCCTACTACTACTACTACTCCTACTACTACCACTACTACTACGAGTACTATCGGTTAGTTGCACGGTCACACGATTACTGATCACTCACGGGCAGGCCGTATTTAACCCCCCAGGACAGCCGACGAACATTATTTTCTCATCAAGGATTGCAATCGGAATCGTAGAGGCCGGGGTCGGTGGGCAGAAAGAGGAAGACCTGGATTCAAGCCCGCCCCTTCGCAGTATCAGGGTTTTTGTTAGTCGGAGGTAAGGGAATGAGATCGAAGTGGAACGGAGAGCCCCCCTACCGGGAAATCGGATTCGGTTTCTTGTTCGTGCGTGCCGTGAGTGCGGGCGAGGCGAAGCTGCGTGGGCGGGCGAGAAGGAAGTCTCCTCCGGTTGAGGCGCGGCCAGACCAAATGATTCCTTTCCGGGGGCCGGTGGCCCGCGGTGTCCCACGGGTGTCCCGCCTCCGGCTGAGGCGCGGCCGGACCAAATGTTTCCTTTCCGGGGGCCGGTTGCCCGCGGTGTCCCGCCAGTGTCCCGCGGGTGTCCCGTCGGCGTCCCGATGATGATGATAATGATGATGATGATGATGATGATGATGATGATGATGATGATGATGATGATGATGATGATGATGATGTCGATGATGTTGATGATGATGGTGGTGGTGGTGATGATGATGGTGCCCCGATGATGATGATGAGGATGATGATGTTGACGGTGTTGATGATGATGATTGTGATGGATGGTCATGATGATGGTGTCCCGATGATGATCATGTTGATAATGGTGATGTTGCTGATGATGATGGTGTCCCGATGATGACGATGATGATCCTGATGCTGTTGATGATGAGATGATGAGATGACGATGGTGCAGATGATGATGGTGGTGTCCCGCTGATGATGATGATGAGATTGATGATGATGCTGTTGATCATGATGGTGATGATGATGATGATGATGGCGTCCCGATGATGATGTGTTGATGATGGTGATGATGACGATTGATGGTGTCCCGGTGATGATGATGTTGTTGATGATGAGGATGGTGATGAGGTGATGATGATGATTTTGATGATGGTGGCCCGATGATGTTGATGATGATGCTGATGTTGATGATGATGATGATGGTGTCCCGATGATGATGGTGGTGATGATGAAGGTGACGATGATGATGGTGTCCCGATGATGATGTTGATGCTGATCATGATGTTGCTGATGATGGTGATGGTGTTCCGTTTGATGATGATGATGATGATGATGTTGATGATGTTGTGCATGATGATAATGGTGGTGTTGATGATGTTGATGATGATGGTGGCGATGATGGTGTCCCGATGATGATGGTGATGATGATGATGCTGATGATGATGGTGATGAGGTGCTGATGATGATGGTGTACCGATGATGATGGGGATGCTGATGTCGATGACGTTGATGACGATGATGTTGATGATGCTGACGTTACTTGTGAGATTGATTGTGATATCGAGAGTGAGATCGATAGTGAGACCGAATGTGAGATCGATTATGATATCGAGAGTGAGATCGATCGTAAGTTCGATTGTGAGATCGATAGTCAGATGGATTGTGAGATCGATCGAATGAAATCGATCGAGTGCTATCGATTGTGAGGTCGATCGAGTGGGATCGATCGAGCGAGACCGATAGTGAGATCGATAGTGATGTCGATACTGAGACCGATCGAGTGAGACGTTGGTTCCCCCCCCCCGAACCTCCTTATCACCCGAAGGGTGGTCGTAAAGGTAATTGCTGCGACTACTGGTCGTAAAACTACTGTTGTTACTTCTCCTGCTACTACGTAATGCCGCTACTACTGCTACGACCGCACTGCAAGACTAACAACTGCTACTTGTACCCATTTTTCCA